TATTAGAGATGCAAGAAGATACCAAAGGGAAATCCAAGCCGGGGGTGGGAGACAGAACCAAGGTCGTAGCAGGCAGAATCCAAAAAGAAGTCCAAAGACAGGTCAAGCAAAACAGATAAGAACAAGGGCAAGCAAAACTCAGAAGTCCAGGAGCAGAATCTAGTCAGGATCAGGTAACGAGAAACACACTTGGGTAAGCTACAGAACTCTAACACATGGCTCGAATAATCTGACACTGAGGGCTTGGAAGTAGCAGTTTAAATAGGAACTGGAACAGGTGGATCTGATGAGTGAGAATGAAAACTGGGCGGAGCTAAGCAGGTCATAACATGAGTGTGTTTTCCTGTCATTGATGGGAAGATCATAACATTCTTATTTTCAGCAAAAAGGAAGGAATGTTTCCCTATCCTGAAAAAAGTGTTTTGAGAGTTTGAGAGAAAGAGTTATAAACATTGCACTGAGGATATTTAGCAGCCAACAGGTCTTTAACCTTTAGGTCTTGGGCAAGTTTAAGGCTCTAGGATCCAGTTTATGTGCCCTACACAACACTTGTCTATATGTTTAAAAAAACAAAAACAAAAAAAAACCTCCACTAACTGCTAAAACCTAATGAAAATAGGCCCAATTGTTTATATTGCGAAACTAAAAATGCTGATTACTTCCTACAATTTAACGGACCCACTAATAATCTGAGTCAAGGCGTACATAGAAGAGGAAATTTGCTGCTTCACCAGGAGAGGACCTAATATTTCAGCTGATATCTGTTGATCCTGTAAAACACTCACCTCTGAATAGCCATATACCCACGGCATTCCAGTATGAGCACCCTGATTAAAACCCTTTCACTGACAGAAAACACAGGACCGCTTTGTGGGTGTCTATTCAATCACGCTCTTGATCTGTTGAATGGTATTGTGTTTGATGTTTGTTAATGCGCCTCTTTCATGCTCCTGTGGAAGGGGCTCTCCTGATGTAAATTATGTGCATATTTTTACTAAAGGTGACATTTCTTTGGGCTCCCTGTAAAATAAATCAGAGACGCCTGCAATGTATCTGCAATGGGGGAGAAGGGAAGAGGGACCTGTTTGTTCCGAGCCAATGTTATCCCCTAATGGAGTCTGGCTGCAATGCTTCAGATGCATTTTTAAGTGTACCATTAATTCATTAGGGAACTGCAGTCCTCTCATTCCAAATAAAACAAGAGGAGAGGAGACGAAATGCGGCGAGACGGCTCATGTTGGGGAGGAGCGCCATCAATCTCAAAGGCTCCACGTCAAGGACAAACGGGGAAGAAGTTGAAGTACAGTATGTGTGTGACTGTGAGGGCACACCTGTGTGTGCAGTTCTCGCTGCTGACGGAGGAAGAGAGGCGGCTAATTTTAGCTCAGGTGAAAGAAGAGGGTAGGAGAGCGGAGGATGGTTTGGATGAGATGAAGCTGGAATCTATGGCTGAAAACAAAAAACAAAGGCAGGAGGACAGTCTGTCATCCTGGGCCTAGAGAAGCACGCTCCATCGATTAAAACCACAGGGGCTTTAGTTTATTGATCAAACAGAAAAGAGACTGGAAAATGGAGAGAAAAGTGAGGGGATGTTGAAGTAGCAGGAGAAAGACAAACAACAAATAAAGACAGCAATATTTCAATTAATTATCAACTAATTATTTCATTTTTTGGTCTATTCAGAGAAGGGCTTGCTGAATGCCTTAGATTACTGTCTCACTGTGCCTTAGCTTAAAATCAGGGATGACTGAACATTATTAACAGTACCTTTAATTCAGTAGTATGTTATTTTTAATTGTTGGTCATTTTTGCACCAGATTTGATGAAGCCAAGGTTTCAAAAATCCTCTGTTTATGTCCCATCAGGCTACAGAATATTTCCTGAACTCTTTCATTGACACATTTGTTTTGATTGCAAATGTGACAGGGGACTCTGTGTTCTTTCTTGTCCTCAGTGTTTTTGGTTGAGTCTCAAAGCCTCATAGATTTTAACCATTTGCAGACTCGTAGATGTTGCTGGGTTTGTTTTTTTTAATCTCTTACTGATTTTCATCAGATTAGAACATGAGGTGTTGCTTTTTCAGATATTTTAGCCTATTTGATGTTGTAGGAAACGGGGGTTGGAGAAGTGTCGACTGCAGGGCCGCTGACTGGACCGGATCCAGCAGAGAGCCATGAGTCGCCCGTCCTCAGCTGAAAGAGGGGGGCTGGGGGCCAGTAAGGCAGGCGGGGGGAAGCATGGGGCTGTCTACCGTCACTGGGTCGGGTTCGGTCGCTCTGTCCCCCACTGGCTCCCTGCCCCCGTCCGTGTAGTCGACCAAAATCCCGGACTATTTTGAAATTCTCCCTGTACAATTTTTTAGGTATGAAAAGAAGGACATGTCCGGGAAAAGGCGGACGTCTGGTCACCCTACCATATCAACAATTTGATGTTCCAGTGAGTGAGTGCTTGTGGCTATGATGCGTCTTTGCTCAGCAGCTTTGCTCGTTGTAAACCAACCAATCAGCGCACAGCTCATCTAAATATTCATGATCATACCATAAAAGGAAGAAAACCTGTTGTTTCATTCTAAGGGCTTTTAACCAGGCTGGAATTAGGGCTCATAGAACAGCAAATATGCCATTTTCAGCCCAACCAATGTTAGACATCCTATTCAGAGACCTTAAAGACCAACACCAAATACCCTATAGAATCAATCTATGACCCTTTAAGCAAATTTGTAAATCTATGGATCGTGCAGCAGTTGGATAATGAAATTTAATGCAGCTTTTTTATAATTTATCATTGTTAATTCAGGAATTAGCAAGAGGTTAATGTCTTTTTTCGCAATGGGCCAAATTTTTTTTCAATTCTTTATATTCTCTCGGAAATGTTTGATAATGACTTGTTGAAAATTCCTCAATTTATCTTCATTGACATGTGACAAATAACAGAATGTAAGTTACATAAAAAGTTATGTTTTAAAGTGATATTCGGCTTCTAAGAGAAGCTATTGTAAAAATTAACGTGAATCTGGACTGAATTTACTGGGTAGAACAGCAACTGCAGAGAATTATATAATTTGTTTGTTTCAACGATCTTAAAACAAAAATAGGCTTTGAGAAACTATGAATAAGTCAATAATAGGCAACAACTTTCATTTAAATGATCTTATTTATTCATATTAATTCATATTTTAATCATTCATGATTCATTACTTTAAACAGCCATTATTCAATGTATTTCTGCCTTTTTATTATATTTTAATGATCATTTGCACGGTAGAACAACTACACAGCAAAGAAATGGTTTTATCAACAAAGGCAGTTTTAACTACTGTGTCTAGATAAAGTCTTTTACTGCAGTTGAGGATTACTTACAGCTGCAGGAGCAGAGCTGTGTCAGAGTTATATTATATATATATTTTTTTGAATTATTATTATGTGTTTTTATGTCTTTTTTTTTTTTTGTCCAAGCATGCCTTTATTGGAACAACATTTAAAAAAAATCATCTGTATTATGTTTGTTTGGTCGAAAGAAGTCAATTAGAAAAATTAAACCTTGTGTTTCGGTACTCTTCTAACGCTTATTTCAAAGTTAAATCTGAAAAGTATAAACTATGAAAAGAGAAACTTCTGAAATTATAAGAACTTTTAGATTTCTTGAAGCAGTGACACATTTTTTTTTTTTTAGCTCATCAAAGTGGGAAAAAAGCCTCTTAATTTATTTAACAGTTTTTTTCTCAAAAATCCAAACTAGTTCCTTTTCTTGTGTTCTATGAGCTTTTTTATGTGTTCATTTAAACCAGTTGTTCATTTTTGCAAGAATTTTCAAATATTTTCATTTCCCATCATACTCAGACTTGTCTTTGTGTGGGTGTTAATATGTGTGCCTGTTGGACATAACATGAGTGTGCTTTCCTGTTTGACATGGAGCAGAGCTCGCTAAGCAGATCAAACAACTTGGAGCCCAATACTTCAGTCTGACTCAAGGCCTCATTGAATCCAAGAGTTTGAGGGAACAAACAGATGATCATCGTTCCTGGCAGTGTTGCCTGTTTATTCAGATTTGCGTCAGAGTAATGTTGCAAACAGCTGAACCATATCAGGCAGCCCGCATTTCCATTACCACAGCCAGAAAAGCCATCTGCCAAGATTTAAAAGAGAAATACTTTGATCAGCTGAAAGCCCAGCAAGGTTAACGGCTGGTCAAAACTGATCTTAGCAGAAGATTGCATTTATTAAGACTCTCCTTTTTAGTTCTGACCAGAGGGTTACCGTTTCTATGCTACAGAAATGATCAGAAGCTATGGGTTCTCCTCTAAATTAAACTGCACTTGTTTCCAGTGCTGTCACTCGATTTTAAAGAGGAGGTCTCTTTTTTTACAGCCCAAGAAACGCTCAGAGATTTCCCATTTATTTTGAACTCCTTTAGTGATATCATTTAGAATCCAGCAATGCAATTACAGATGCTCTGCACATCAATTGTTGGTTCCTGCGGTGCAGGCATGACAGAAATCCACTTATTTCATATTATATTGATGCCAATTTGGAGTTTTTATTACAGCAGAAGGTAGCAGAGCAGCATAATGACATCCGAGGGAGTTTCTTATTATGAGACCTTAAAGCAAGTGTTGAACCACAGAAGATAAATGGAGGCACAGATACTCCGCATATTAGGATTGAGCTACACGGTGAACACAAGGACTCACAAACATAGCAACAGATTGTGTCTGATGAGACTGCACAAAAGTAAAGGACAAAGTAGCAGGTTGGACTGTGCAGTGCAGTTCAGCTTTACCTGAATTTTTGTTGTTGTTTGTTTAAGTTGCAAAGTACACGAATGTTTTATGGCTGATGTAAAAAAAACAACTGTAAAACTGTTAAGGCATTTCACTAGCTTGTTGGAATTTGCTGTCCTATTAATTCTAGTTCTCTCCCAACATTGTCCACTTCCTTCACTTTCGCTTTTTTCTTCCTCATTCTTTTCCCCTCCTAATGCATCCATCTTTGATGTTTCAGGTACAACACCGCCTAAGCCTGCAGAGGCAGAATGCCGGAGCAGAGCAACGACTACCGTGTGGTGGTGTTCGGGGCAGGAGGAGTGGGGAAGAGTTCCCTGGTCCTGCGCTTTGTTAAGGGTACTTTCAGGGACACCTACATCCCCACGGTGGAGGACACCTACCGGCAAGTGATCAGCTGCGATAAAAGTGTGTGCACTCTGCAGATCACAGACACCACAGGTAGCCACCAGTTCCCAGCCATGCAGCGCCTCTCCATCTCCAAGGGCCATGCCTTCATCCTGGTCTACTCCATCACAAGCAAACAGTCTCTGGAGGAGCTAAAACCCATTTATCAACAGGTATGTGTCTACGTATAACTGCCCTGTGCTCTAAGTCTATTTCTTTGTCTAACAACAAAGAGAGACTTTAAAACTGAAGTTACGATTAGATCAATGCCGTTGTTTTCAGTTAACAATGTTTCCTATTTAAAATTATATAGATCCGTTAATTCTCTGAAATTTAACTGGTTTAGTATACAGTGCTTTTTATAAAATTATATATTCTATAGAAACGTTCTTATATGACTTTTTAGAACACAAGCAATGCACCATACTTTTATTTTTTTTTTTTATCAGCACATTATTATGTAGTTCAAGGAGTTTCCAATGATGCTTTCTATGACATGTGTTTTACATTTGGGCTTGATCGCCTTCAAGCTGCTGGTGTTAGATTGCTCCACGAAGAATTCTGTTGACACAGATATAGCAGAGCAAATTAATGTTTTCTTTAAACCAAGCCCTTATAGAAAAAAAAAAAAAAAACATTGATCTGTGCATCAACTGTGGGAATATTGAGCTGGATGTAGAAAAAATCCCTTAGAACAATAAACAAAACATGATTTCCTATGTCTGACTTAGCTACCTCTAAACAAACAGCACAGTCAGATATTCATATGTTGCCATTTTTGTCCTTTGGGGCTTCAAGCCCAGGAGGCCATAAGATCAAATGTGTTATCAGACACCAAACATTTTCCCTTATTTTGCAAGTACAGATCTGAAAATGAAACATGCTTTTTTACTTAGACCTTCCTATACTTTGATACAAAAAATTTTAATCCAGGGCATCCAATAGCCTTCGGATGTCAGCTTGTTAACAGTTAAAGACTTCTTTTTTATTTAATAACATTTCCAATCGAGCTGTTCTGTGAAGGCCTCATAGGTTTGGAACATTAGTAATAAAACAGTTGCAATGAACAACAAAAGTACAGTTAGGTTGTGAAATATAATCCTAAGCTTTGGACATCTTGCCAAGCTATTTTAAATCTGACGCTCTATTTAAACATTTAGAGGCAATAAGAGAAATCAAATAAAACAGCAAACATCAATAGCTCAGTTTGATATTGACAGCTCAGCATTAGTGGTGCTCCTCACAAATCTGATAATGATCCATTTAGTGGAATGCTGTCAGCAGGCGGAAGACGGTGTTCCATTTTCAGGTTTAAAATGGAACAATTTTTGTTCATTTACTACCATGCATGGCAGAAAATAGCCAAACCTCATCCTAGTGAGCAAAAATGGTAGCAACATAATTATGTTGTTCAAATTTACTTCTCAAGAGTGGCTATAGTGCAATAAATGAGCAATCTTTGAAGAAAACCTGTTAAAGGCTGTCAATATTTTTGTACAGCTTTTAGTGATGTATTCAAAGCTTTGAGACAATTTCAGAGACTAACATACCTGAAGAAACAGCCGGTGCTTCAAAAGTGGTGTAGGTTGTAATCGTCAAGTCTCACTCCAGACTTTGAAAACTGAGAATAACGTACAAGAGATATCTTCATAATTGATCACTCTTCAGTCTGATAGAGCTAAAACTGTTTACAAAGAATAACGGTTAAAGATTTAACTATTTAATTATGCAAAGCTTGTAGAGACATGTTTCAAAGAACTTGCAGCTGTAATCCACTCAGAGGAATCCAAACATGAAAAAAAGTTTGGATTTTTAATGTATTAAAACAGATATTAGTAAACACTTTTTTGCATTTACACTTGTGGTCCACTAAGACTAGGTCTATTCCATGGAATCTCAATAAAATACATTTAGATTTGTGGTTGCTTTGTGACAAAATACAATAAGTTAAACACCTTTGTGAGTGTTGAAATGAGATTCCATAGTGTTTTTTTTTTACATTTCTTCTGCAGATCCTGGCCATAAAAGGCAACGTGGAGGCCATCCCCATTATGCTTGTGGGAAACAAGAGTGATGAAACCCATCGCGAGGTGGAAACCAAGGATGGGGAGGACCAGGCCAACCGCTGGAAGTGCGCCTTCATGGAGACATCCGCCAAGACCAACCACAATGTCACAGAGCTCTTCCAGGAGCTCCTCAATCTGGACAAGAAGAGGAACATGAGTCTCAACATCGACGGCAAGCGCTCTGGGAAGCAGTCCCGTGCAGAGAGACTGAAGGGCAAATGCAGCGTGATGTAGAGCCAGAAGGAGGGGAAAGGGGAGGACAAGCGAGGAGAGGAGAAGGGAGGGAGGGAGGATCTAGATCAAGATCAAGAGAGATAAAGAAAAAGGACAAGATGAAGAAACCACTCCATGTGTATCCAATTAAAGCAATGCTGCTGCAACGGCAAAGGGAATCTTAATATACACATCCTCTGTTTGTTTCAGTTGGGCGTTCAAAAAAACAGGAAGAAGCAGATATTCAGAAGTGTTTGACTGAGTGGGAGGAAGTGAGATGTTGGCTTGATATCAAGGAAATGTTGAGAAAACAAATGAAAGTAGAAACACAGAAACAGCGGCGATTTGCAACACCTAAGTGCAGCAAAATCTCAGAATGATCACAGAATGGCGCCTTAATCAAGAGAGAACCAACGTCCCCGAATAGCAGAAATAATTTATTATCTTACAATAAATCTCTTAATCTATGCTTCTCTGCTCATAACTAATCTCCTCGTCAGCCTCCCAAACTCCCATCCTCTGCATCTCCACTATTCCAAAAACTTTAGGAATATTTTTATTTGATTTAAGATCAGCCATTTGGTGAAACCTAATCAGTCCATTAAACCTCTAAATTTGTGTATCACATATCTGAGGCTGCCAGCATGAGCAGAACTCAGCAGAACATACAACCCTGGCACTTCCCAGAATCCCACTACTGGGCTCTGATGTATATAACCATGGGGATGTGTAAATATCTTCCATCTAGCAGCAACATGTTCAGCCTCAACAAGTCGTCCAATCACAGGAGAGGAGCTAATCACGTCTGCAGCATTAAAGATTTCATCTCATTGGTTCTGGTCAGAGATGGAAAAAATATGATGTATCAACTGGTCTTTTTAAAAACTCATCAAAAAAAAAACTTCAATAATCATCTTCTGCAATGAGAAGGTTTCTATCTGTACACTGACACACGCAACAATCCTTTTAAAACTTTCATAAAGTGTAGAATAACCGAAGAGGATGAAGGTGAACTCACATAAACAGAGAGAAGAATCAAGGCCGCCTTGTTTACCAGGATGGTACCCTTGGATAATCATTGCCAAGCTGGAAAGAGGGATAAAAAATGTTTCCCTGTCAAAAAAAAACAAAAAACTGGATAATATCAGCTCGCTTTGGCACTTTTCATGTGAAAGTTTCTCTTTTTGCCTTTTTTTCTAGTCTGTTTGCTTTATAACGATTTTAAAAACCATGCCAAGTGGGGCGGAAATCTTTAAATTTAAAGCACATCGAAGAAGGAATGGATAGGATGATATAGGTAAATGATTATTCATTAAACTGTCTTTCCTTTGCTGGTTTGATTATAAATGCAGAGCAGACTTAAACTTCTGTTAAAGATGATTTTAAAAGCCTTGAAATCAAACCAGGAGGGAGGTCTGGTGACTAATTTAGTCTCTGTTTAACCATTCCTGTGTTTTTTTTATTATCTGGCTGGAAATGGTGCAGAAATTTTCCAGAATCGTTTTCAAAATGCTCTCTTTCCCTTTACATGTTTTAATAAATTCACTTAAACTAAAGTTTTTTGTTTTTTTTAGCACAAGAGGATACTACTGCAATAAAAGCTTGATTTAGGTTTCATGGAAGGAAACTGGTTTCTCACATCGTATTTTTACACCAGGAAGACCTCAAAGACAATGGTGTTGTACTTGTATGTAAATACAGGCAATGGAGAGGGGGTTCAGGATGTCAGTAGTATAGTCCTACCTATTCATGCCGAATAATCTCTAAAAAACTTGTAGAGAAGATTTGAAAATGTATTTACCTAGAATTGCTTCTGCAAGAGGAGATGAATTAATTTCAAGGCTTTTAATCCATCTTTACAAGGAATCTGTCTGCCGCTGCGCCTTCATCCATTTATCCATGAACAGGAAGCAGAGGACGGGATACACACGTATGCAGGAATCATGCATGCAGTTGTCAACAAGGAGTAAACACGTATATGGCTCTGAAAGTTACTGTTTACTAATTATATTTAGACACATGGGGCTCACTCAGCTTAAATGCCCTCATATTGCACTTTATATCACAATATCACACATACATTTAATTTGTTATATAGTTCCACTTTAAAGCTCTACCCTAAGTCCAAAGTGAATTCATATAAGGCTGATATACATCTTTACGTGCAGGAGATCTTAATGTTGTACACAGGACAGCCAAAAGCACAATACCTTTTACTAATATATCTTTCTGTACATTTAGTTTTTTGTTTGAATATCTTTCTGTCTTCTTTTGTAATGTCATCAAAGGTCACTCTCAGTCTCATTGTTTTAATTGTTCAGTACATTAGTACAATGAAGTTGTGGTTCTGCTGAGCAACAGGGTATCGGTTGGCTGTGTTTGTGGAGCGTAATCTGAGCTGGATGATCCAGATTTTCTCCATTTTCTCAGGATAGACTTTTGACAACAATTAGCGAGGAGGGTAATCTGCTTATGTACTTTTTCAACCCAAAGACACAGATGATAAACCCATTTTAACTGAGCTCCCTCCTCCTAGGGGTGGAACAGACAAGCAAAAAAAAAAAAAGAAAGGAAGAGCACAGCAACCGTTCCTCGTTCATCTCCACCTCTGTGTTTTATCTGCAGCAGGATCAACAACTGAGCACTTTAGGAGGGCATTTTACTTGAAGATTTGCTTTACATTAATCAACTCACTTATAAACACTGGATGAAATGACCCGTCTGCATCCCCAAACATGCTCCATATGCATTGTTATTGTAAATTGCCATCATTCTAGGGGGTCTGAAAAGCGCTTCAAGTAAGATGTCGCCCTTGTCAACCAATGCTAATACCCTATTTTTCTGGAAGGAGAATCTTTGTAAGCAGGAAGTGCTGGTACTGTAGTTGCAATGTACTGTAATTTTCCGTTTAGTGATATTATTCATATCACCATGCTATCAATGCATCAAATTCATCAGATAGATCCAAATGTGAATATGTAACTAAAAGCTACACTTCATGGCTGTTACTACTTATCTTTTCTTTTTTTCTGAATGTATTTGTTGTTATAGCTGTGTCGTATTTTTGCACTAATGTGAGGTCCTCTGAAACTCCAAAATTACCTTGTTAAAGTACCCTTTACATGTTAGAGGCCAGGGATGCTTTACTGTTTTTTAAAAGTAATTCACATATATATTAAGTTTTCAATGTCATGATTTTGACTAGTTGTAAAAATGCCATATAGATGGGTGGCAGCCGACCGGGCATGTGGTTAGAAAAGAATAAACAAAAGACCTCTGATGCTTTTCAGGCCCAACTCTGGGGGCTGATCTAATCTAATAGAGGCACACACTGCATAAAAATCAGCTTGATACGCCTGGTCCCTTTACGCAAATGCCAGGTTTGCGTGCGCATGTTTGTGCAATCTGCTGTTCTGCTGACGTTAACGAGAGACAGGCATTGTACACCTCCCTGCATGGAATATGATACAGCACAGAGAGGGATGGGTGGGGGCAATGAGGCAGCATGTAAGAGCCGGATGGATGGCAAAACAGGGGAGCGAGGGAGGCAGCCGGGCTATTGATATATTTATAGACACGGTGTGAAAATCAGAAATTTAACTACACTCGCCAGGTTCTGTGTAAGGTTCAGCTGAGCTCCCCCGTGCGAGAAAAATAGTGTTCACGTGGAGCATCTAAGTTTGTGGACTGAGCAGGTTAGATACTTGAGAGAATCAGCCTCCATTCAATCATGGCTTGTCTCATCCCATTTATCAGTGATGTTTCTGTGTAAAAGTGAGAGCATCCATGTATGTGCACCAAACTACCTTTTGCATTTGTACACTTTGGACTGCATGAGTGGATCATGTGCACACCTGAGCGATGCATTGTTCTAGCTAATGATGTGTCAGACATCCCTGGCTTACTGCTGGAGAATGCTTACAGGTTCTGCATGGGACATCTGGTGCAGTCCAACATTTCTCACAGAGACACATAACAACCATATGGAGGTGTAGTTCTGCTTTAAAATATTGCCCCCCTTGAATAAGAAGAACCCTCTCAGCAAATAAATGCAAATAAATCTTTTAATAAAGGATTTTTATATTTCATATCAGTGTTTCGACACCCAAAATGCTTTAACTGGACACACTTTTGATAATAAGAAAATTTACAATTAAATTAAAACATGTTTTAAAATATAAAAATGATTTGAATTACAGGAAAATCCATTAGTTAGTGATATATCATATAAAAATGGATCCTGATTTAAATTATTGGAATGAATTAAATTTCTTAAGATGCTCAAAACTATGTAAAAAATAAAGTAAGTTCAATTCATTGCTAAGGTGTGAGAGAGAGAAAAAAGATCCATTTGAGCTGTATTGGCTTGGAAAATAGTGTGTAACACACAATAATTATTAGGTTTTCTATATGACAAAAGATAAAGTTCAAGGGAGAAAGGGAAACCCAGGGTAAAGCATGGTGGAGGTGCAATCATGTTATGGTACTAGTAAGTAATTGAATGTATTAAGAAAATTAGATCAGATCTATTTATTGTAGTATCCCGTATGTATTTTTCAAATAAAAAAACAGGAAATTGGTACAGAAATTTGGTTTGAAATAAGTGCAGCAGTGGTTGTTCTGCCTTTGCTATAACCTACTTGTTTACTTTAGGCTCAGACTAATTCGCAGTCTGTGAGGATTACTGTATTTCATAATTTTCTTATTCATTTGTCTGCTGTCTTTTTATAACAGATCTTGGATAAATGTGGAGGATAATTTTAATGGCAGTCTAACCATTCTCTTGCAAAACGCATTTTAACTGGGTTAATATGGTTTTGATATTCCATGCCTCTATTTTAACATTTAAAGCCTTACATTGACAATAAATGTCATAAAACAGTCATAATATTTCTTAGAGATAAGCCCTAAAACAAAACTGAGATCAAAGTGCTTCTATTTTTATGGCTATAATAGCCATGGGATGTAGGTGAACGTTGTCAGCCTCTGGCAAGAATTTTTATAACTGAAAAGAAAACTATGGAGATATTCAAAGTATACAGCAATATTACCCTATAATAAATACATCTGCTGTCTTTAAATAGCTTAAATGCACCTGTATTACACAGTAAAAAAGAGTGTTACTTCAACATCTACAGAGTTAAACATAACTCTGACATCATTCGGTCAGAGTGTCAGATTTTTAGAGTTAATTTTACTCATATTAGTGTTGAAATCAAGAAGACCTCTCAGAGACTGGTGGGTAGTTTACACCCTATAGAGAAAAGTTACACTGCATGGCTGTCAAATTTCACAATGATTATTAATTCCAATATTTGAGCAGATTTATACTCAGTATGGTTGTAAATACTCAATTTAGGGTTAAATAGGTTAGCTCTGAATTCTTAAAATCCAATTTTTACTATGTATAAAGTAGTAGACAATTAATTGTTGCCACTTTGTTACCAATTGCCACTGTAAGTAACTATTAACGTAAAGGTAATTTAAATTATATTTTTAAAAGTAAACGATAAGTTTACCTTTTTATGAGGACATGCTGATAGAGAAACTGGTTAATTTGCAAAAAGATTATTTTCAAACTTCTGGTTATGACTAAAACATAAATGCAAAGTCATAACACATTGCTCCATGCTATAAAACATAACTTTTTTACTCTATTTTCTCCCTTCGTTTTTTTTTTTTTGTCATTTTGCCCAACATCCTTTGTTCATAAAAAAGTCGACCCTCCTGAACAAAAACTCCTCTCACTTCATTCATTTAGTTATGTGTGTGTGTCTGTGACAGAAACTAACCCTGCTCAAATTCAGCTGTAGATAGCTGTAAATAATGTTCAAATGATGTAACATTTCTAACATGGAAGAAGGAAAGAAAAATAATGTATTGGTCAGTTAGGGAAAATGGCCGTCAGCTAGCATAAAGTCAAGCTTTCTTTTTAAAGTCCAATTAGACTCAGATTTTATATTTCCACTGGGAAATCAACGACATAACTGTAAAAGGGGAAATGTACAGGGATCTATAATCTGGTGACGTATTTTAAACGAATCATTATTTTTTATGAAATCATAAATAAAATACTGAGCAACCTTGTGAAATTTAATTGTAGTTTTGATTAAGTTGAATTTTTCA